GCCCCCCCCCCCCCCCCCCCCCCCCCCCGCGAACGTTTGGGAGGCCGAAGTGAGCGAACGAGCGGACAGGAACTGATAGTGTGAGCCCGTCTGCTATGCTGGTGGGGTTGGAAACCAACCAGACCAGGTGACTATGAATACGTGACGGTGTGGTCCAGCTCACTTGTTGGCGGTGATGACGGTAGCTTCCACTACGATGGTCTAGGCTGCAGGCATCTACCGCGGCCCGTGGTAATCTCCATTCGTGATTGCTCGTGAGTCTTGCCAGGTGATTGCATTCCACGATGGCAGAGTGACGCTTGCGCAGGGCAGGCTCGGGCGCCCAGTCGTCCTTCAGCCTTCATTCGTCTTTACGGCATTGACGAGATCATTTGCCTTTCCTGCGAAGGTCTGAGAGCCGAGATGGCTCATCGTGAGAATCCGCGGTCAGACTCGTGGGATCCTTGCGCGCATATGCTGAGCACTAGTGCCATGTCTGGTGCTCGGCGCCAAGAGTTTGAGGCCTGCTGAGTGCAAGCGTAGTCGATCGCGAGGCGATAGAGCGCATTCCACCTCGACAATTCAGCGCGCGTTCATCGTTGCTTCCGTACGAGTCGTCGCGTGGGCTCAGACATGGAGGTCAAAACGTCGCAATATGTAAATCACACGAGCGGAGCATCGCTAAACTCCTAGCGGTGTGGTTCATCGAGGAGAAGTAGTGGTCAGAACCTAAAGCGTGATCCTCGCGAAAGCCTCTTCTGGTATGCGTGCACGTGCGTCTCGAGGGGACCAGGGCTGAAGATGATTTCTGATCGTGCGTGAGCCCTTTCATCCTATCACTAGCAGCTCGAGCGGCCTCCAAGTGATGCTTTTGCCTCTCTTCGTTGTCGTCGTCACCAAGCAAAGAAGCGTCGAAGGAGGACAGCCTGGTCATGCTGGAGGACGCACCATTGATGTGCATGATCGTGGTGGTGCGGAACATCGACGTGGCGCTGTGTGGCAGACCGTGCGAGTTCCCGCCCAGCGCGACATGTCCTCCATCCATGTCGATTCCCACGAAAAGAGGCAAATGGAAATTGAATGTCATGGGATCTCCAACTCCTTGTGGTGAGTCGTGAGTGGCTTTTGAGTGGACCAGATCCTGCTGTGGCCGAGGCCTAATGGATGGAACAACGCATGATCTGCTGCTATAAGCTATGGCAGCCGCAAGCCACGCGGCGGGCGTTATGCGGGCGACGCGATGCACGCTCAGTCAGAGTGGGGCAAACAGAAGAGCGGAAGGAGGCGCAACGCCAATAAGATCGTGGCTTGACGCAAAGACGGTCAATGAGTCAATCACAAAAGACCAAGCCACGCACGTACGACTCTCGACTGTTGACGCTTCAAGGGCAAATGCAGCATGAAGCGGACACGGCCTTTCATTGGCTGATTTGACCTATTTGTTTGGAGTCGCACATGCCGAGTATTTACGACTGCAAGAGCCGATATCGGTCTGCTGGATGGCTGGCTGACGGTTTGCGCGCGCCCGCAATGTATCTCGAGCCCTCGCATGCGCCGCAAAGCATCGGATCCGCCTCTCCTACGCCACTCCGATCCACCACGAAGAAGGACTCTGATCCACCGATGTGACATATGATTAGCTTCACAAGAGCGCTATCCATCCCTCCTCGACGACTACGTGCACCACGAAGCAAGTCATGAGTCAAAAGTCGCGAGTGGTAGAAGAGAAGCGGCTGCAGCGTGTGGATTGCGGTCACGAGTCGTCGCGCGGGCCTTGGACCAGCAGCTATGTCGGACGCTTGCTCGATGACCACCATACACACGCAGTCAGCATCTTTGCATAGAGCCGACGGGGTATGAGATGAGGATACACCTTGATGCAAGATTTGCAAGCATCATGCTTCAGAAAATCATGAAGTGAGCCCCAATGAGTAGTAAAGGTCAAGTGCATAGCATAGGATCAGACTCGACTCACCGACTCACCCACCATCAGAAATAATCTCGAATGCAAGATTTGAATATTCACCTGCCCGACTCGATTCACGAATGCCAGGCCCCGGCACGGGCACGGGCACGGGCACGCCTATACTTCACGGCTGCCTCACATGAGGTCCAAGTCTTGAACATCTTCTTGAACATTTTACGCAAGAGTCAAGGTTACAGACCAAAGACCACGTGGAGCAAAATGCCAGAAACAGCGATACACGACCAATGCAGAAAGCTGCCCATGACCTCACCTCATTCTTGATTCAGAGATCTCCTAAACTTTGCAGCAGGCCATCAAGCCGCCTGCACTCTTGACTTGTGCATGCACACACAAGCAGGGTCTTGATTGAGAGCGTCCTCCGATCGTCGTGGCTGCTTCACTAGGCTGTTTGCATCCTGCGAGGGACAGTGTAGTAGCGAGGCACCGGTACACACGCAACGTGACCCCGTGGACAAATGTTCTGGGACTGAGGGTCGCTGTACGCAAGGAGGGGAGGGTCTGTCACGAGATTCGGCTAGCCTGGCAGCATCCTACCACTCAACGCTGCAGTCGAGCGCGATGAAGCGTTGTCAGGGTGGACACTCGATGACGTCTTGCTTGGCATACAGACGTGAGTCGCAAGGATGCAAAAAGACCAGCCAGCCCCTTGCTTCAAGATTTCCACGTTGGATTCGTGATTTCCATTTGCGATGCCGCCGACCATGACCCAAAGTCCTGACTTGACCCCCGGGGTCCAGGCAGAAAACCAGAGACAGAGCCTGCTGCTTCATCAGATCACTACGGCGGAGTCCGAATCCACAAAACTCCGCCCAGTTTCGTGGGAGCCGCAGATCTTGTAGAGTGTGTCATGTACTGTACAGTGCAGTAGCTTTCCAGTCAGGAGTAATGCCAATTTCAATAAATCTTGAATCCAAGCCCCATGTCCAATTATATGCCCATGATAGACTGCGCATTTCAAAGGATGAATCGGTAGGGCTGCAGCCATCTGCACCAGCCGATGCACGGCACACTCCATGCACTCTGACAGCACCCGAGTCAAATCAAGCGTCATGTTGCTGGTTGTGAAGCCAAGACAGTTGCAGCGTGTGATTTCGGTGTTTTGCCCTTATCCGGTGGCAGCGCAGCGGCGGCAAAGCGGACGCGCTGATGTGCTGAAAATAAGGACACAAGTATAGTTTGAATCTTAGCGTAACCTTGTTGTGTCCTTATTCAGCATTTAGCGTGTCTACTGTACATCACGCACTTCCGGTCGATCTCGAAGCCGTGCTCGGCCCAAGTGAGAACCGGCGCTGGAGATGCCAGGCAGGCGGTTTCGCCGGAAGCGGCGGAGCAAAGAGAGAATTTCTTCTCCATATGCGACCGTTGAGCCTACACTCAAATTAAGAACTCGCTTCTCCATATGCGACCGTTGAGCTTACCCTACGATGCACGCTCCAGCTCCATGCACGACCGTAGCGACACAAAGTGAGCATGCGCTAGGAAGCTTTGCTGAATTACCCCGTCGTCGCATAAGCCTTCTTGTGAGCTTGAGCTTGATAGTGCCACCCATCAGCCCGTGAGGAGTTGCGCGAAGCTGAATTCAATCGACCAGAGCCGAGATGGCACAGTTGTGAGGGGGTTATTATTCGTGGATTGGCAGTCCTGCACTCTGGAAGAAAGTCCAATCTAAAGGTCGCCACGATGCCTTTGCGATATGGTCAAGGTTCATGGGCTCCCAACCCCAACCTTTGTCTGTGCAGTCGAATGCTCGCTAGACAAAGCACGCTGCGCAGATCGGCGAAACGACCCCATGCTTGTCCGGCGCACTAGACCTTAGTCGCCGCATGCGCGAGCTTACGCAGTGGACAGCGTCGTTCATTCAGAGTGAGAGCTCCTTCGTGTAGTAGGCCTTACGGCCTTCCGACAAATACGCTCCTCCGCGCACAGTGTAGCGACCTTTTCGCAGACGATTGCACGTGCTCGAGTCATGCAAGCTGTTCGTATCGGTCGATCGATTGCTGTAGGGTATGGTGTACAACTACTGCATGATCGCGGCGTTTTCGCGCGCTAGAGCGGCATCGGCAAGTCCACACCAATCTGCAGACTCGCCTACTCCTCCGCTCTCTTCTGAAGCACAACACCCAAAAGGGCCGAAGCTGGGTTAGAGGAGGCTTCAGGGCGGGTTATGCGCTCGTCATGCCTGGGTGTGAACGTGACTGATGAGAGCGGCACCAGTCGAGCTAAGTTGGCAGACGTTCCCCATCTTATCGTGGCTGCCGCCGATTATGGTTGTTCTTGATTGTTTGAGCTCGGCGATTTGTCCAACACTCGATCAATATTCGACTTTGCGAGCGAGCAAGCGCGCCCAGATTAAGGAACGGCGTGTGGGGAAGGCCGAGCGCGACGAGTGAGCTCTCTGCAAAGCAAAGCCGATCTCGTGCCGAGTCACCAGCGTACGTATGGCAGCTACAGTCACTGAGTCTCGATGACTCACAACGTGGGTGAGGCTGTGCGCCGACGCGGCCATGCAAGAGCAAGCAACTCGGTCGATAGCTCGCTTTCTTGCCTTGCCTTGCCTGTGCTGTGTTGTGCTGTGAAGCTGTTGTGCTCTGCTGCATGCTTTGCTCGCTCGCTCACACGGAGAATGTCTGCGCGCCTGCGTTGCTGCACGCGCTTGCTGGCAGATGGGAAATCGCGCGCGCGGCCGGGACGGAACGCACGCTCAAGCGTGCGAACAATCCGTGCTCCCCATCCATCGGAGTTGCCATTCGCAAGCCCATGGAAGACTGCACGCATCTTCTCATGACAATGCCGACAAGGTGGCCTGAAGGGTCTCTTCCGTGCACCGGCATCATGTCGCAGCAAGCCGGCGCGCGGAGTCACATGGTCTGCTGAAGGGGATTGTTTGGGAAAAAAAGAAGAAGACGGCTGATCAGCCGTGAAGGATTGAAGACACGCTTGACATCCCGAGATAAAGGCGCTGCGCTGCGTCCATCATGACGTCGAAGAAGCGCGACCCGGTGTGACAACACGGGAAAGAAGCTCATCATTACAAAGACCGGCCATCTCGACCATAGGCAGAGGAGTGTCTGAGAATTTGTCACGAGCCGTGGTCGTGAGTGACGAGTGCTCTGTTGATGACGCACCTTTCTGCTGGTAAGGGCGCTCGAATCATGCATCCATGCAGCAGATGACTTGTGATCTGCCGCTCGGTGAGGCGAGGGCAACGCTGATCGATCTTTCGGGGTGCTGCATGGTTCCCCATAACAGAAGTCACGATCGAGTGCCATGCAAGCTAGGCGACTCGTGCGCCCGATTGCTGATCCTTAGCGCGTCGGGCGATCTCTCCAAAAGGCAGCAAGCAAGCAGCAACCTCCACGCGCGGGGGGCGGCCGCACTGCGAGAGATGTGTCTCATCACTCAGCAGACTTGGTCATCATGAATCACGAATGGCGCACCTCGATCGCAAAGGTTGCTCAGGGATACATAAAGTTGGGTACAACTTCCAAGCGAGCAACAGCAAGTAAAGGCGAAAACTTGCCACATTTGATTTGTAGCATCAGGTTGCGCGATCGGGGCCTGGCGGAGACCCACAGCAT